CCTTCCAGTCCGGACACTTTCCCCCCCTTCCAGTCCGGACACTTTCCCCCCCTTCCAGTCCGGACACTTTCACCCCCTTTCCAGTCTGGACACTTTTCCCCCCTTCCAGTCCGGACACTTTCAGCCCCTTCCAGTCCGGACACTTTCCCCCCCTTCCAGTCCGGACACTTTCCCCCCCTTCCAGTCCGGACACTTTCTCCCCCTTCCTGTCCGGACACTTTCTCCCCCTTCCTGTCCGGACACTTTCCCCCCCTTCCAGTCTGGACACTTTCCCCCCCTTCCAGTCCGGACACTTTCTCCCCCTTCCTGTCCGGACACTTTCTCCCCCTTCCTGTCCGGACACTTTCCCCCCCTTCCAGTCTGGACACTTTCACCCCCTTCCAGTCTGGACACTTTTCCCCCCTTCCAGTCCGGACACTTTCACCCCCTTCCAGTCCGGACACTTTCCCCCCCTTCCAGTCCGGACACTTTCTCCCCCTTCCTGTCCGGACACTTTCTCCCCCTTCCTGTCCGGACACTTTCCCCCCCCCCCCCCAGTCCGGACACTTTCCCCCTCTTTCCAGTCCGGACACTTTCCCCCCCTTTCCAGTCCGGACACTTTTCCCCCCCTTTCCAGTCCGGACACTTTTCCCCCCCTTTCCAGTCCGGACACTTTTCCCCCCCCTTTCCAGTCCGGACACTTTCCCCCCCCCCTTCCTGTCCGGACACTTTCCCCCCCCTTCCTGTCCAGGCCAGTTTTCAGCTTTCAGCGCTATCACACTTTGAATGCCAATTGCGCGGTCATGCAACACTGTACCCATATGAATTTTTTATATATATATTTAATAAATAGATGTTCGAATCGAATGTGAGTTTGACTCGAACATCAGACGTTCGTGTGTTTGGCCAACACACGAACGGTAAGGGCGTTTAGCCGGCTATTCGCCATGACAGTGCATTGTGTTTGGCCAAAGCAATGCTTTGGCCAATCATAGTGCTTGGTGATGTCACAAAGGGGTGACCCCACCCCCTTCTGACATCATCACAGTATTTTAGAGCTATCATCCCATAGAAGCTGCCAGATGGCGGGAGCCAGCGTCAGGGGCGGAGCGTATTTTTTTTTTCTATTTTCAGGTCAGCGGTCATATGTTGGATCTACTTCGGGGGACATTTTTTTCTTTTTAATAAAGGACTTGACAAAGACTGCTTCCTGTCATTTTTCACACTACACTTTTTTTTTCTTGTGAATGGGTAGCGGTACCATATACAGTGGGGCCCCATATAACGCCCCTTATTGAAGGGGACTTCTAGATTCTTATACACCGTGTTCCAAATTATTCTGCAGATGATATTTCCTCATTTCCCTCAATAATTGATGTAAATATCAGTCGGCAGAATTCTCAGGTGACAACTAGAAGAGGACAATTCACATTTTATTGAACGAACCTCCTAATGATAACAGGATTTTTGTTCCGGATTATTCCGCACAGGAAGTTTCCAAACACTTTCTAGGTTGTAAAGAACTGAAAATTGTCATTTGTTTGTGTTTGCAGCAAATTTACTGAAATCAAAAGCTATTTCAATCAAACTTTTCCCAACATTGTAACTTTGTAAACATTTGAAGCGGTCACGTTACATTGTAACATAGGAGCCCTTATCTGATAGCAGATCACAAGTCTGGCATCCATTGAACTTGGCAGTTTTTGGACAGTTTCTGCTTGAATTTGTTTGCAAGATGTCAGAATCGCCTCCCAGAGCTGCTGTTTGGGTGTAAACTGCCTCCCACCCTCATAGATCTTTTGCTTGAGGATGCTCCAATGGTTCTCAATAGGATTGAGGTCAGGGGAGGATGGAGGCCACACCATGACTTTCTCTCCTTTTATCCCCATAGCAGCCATTGATGCAGAGGTATTCTTTGCAGCATGAGATGGTGCATTGTCATGCATGAAGATGATTTTATTACGGAAAGCATAGTTCTTCCTTCTGTACCAGGGAAGAAAGTGGTCAGTCATAAACTCCACATACTTTGCAGAGGTCATCTTTACACCTTCGGGGCCCCTAAAGAGACCGACCAGCTCTGTTCCCATGATTCCGGCCCAAAACATGACTCCACCACCGCCTTGCTGATGTCGCAGCCTTGTTGGAACAGGGTGGCCGTCCACCAACCATCCACTACTCCATCCATCTGGACCATCCAGGGTTGCACGGCACTCATCAGGGAACAGGACTGTTTGAAAATGAGTCTTCATGTATTTTTCTGCCCAATGCAGCCGTTTCTGCTTGTGAGCATTGGTTAGTGGTGGCCGAATAGAAGGTTTCTGCACAATTGCAGGACTCTGGAGGACGCTACACCTTGATGTCCGTGGGACTCCAGAGGCACCAGCAGCTTCAAATATCTGTTTGCTGCTCTGTAATGGGATTTTAGCAGCTGCTCTCTTGATCCGATGCCTGGATCTGGCAGAAATCTTCCTCAATGTGCCTTTATCTGCACCAACCCGTCTGTGCTCTGAATCAGCCACAAATCTCTTCATAGTGCGATGATCACGCAGACGTTTTCCTGAAATATCGAATGTTTTCATCCCTCGTCCAAGGCATCGAACTATTTCACTCTTTTCGGCAGCAGAGAGATCCTTTTTCTTCCCCATATTGCTTGAAAATGGCGCTCTGCTTAATAATGTGGAACGCCGTCCTTTAGTAGTTTTTCCTTCAATTGGGCTCACCGGCCAATCTAATGATCACAGGAGTCCCAGATTGTTTTCAGTGATCAAAAGAGCCCTGACACACAATGCCATCCATGAGTTACACTGAAAAACAAAAGATTTCATCTTTGTGACACTTAAATAGAATTTGCATAATAATTTGGAACGCGGTGTAAGCCCCGCACCCATAGACCCCCACAACCATCGGCCACAGTTGTGGGGAAGCAGTGGCGGACTGACAACTCATGGGGCCCCCCGGGCAATAGGGGATCATGGGGCCCGTGTCCTTGCCCAAACTCAAAAAAGCCTATGAAAAAGGTACCAGGGGCATCTCATGGGGCCCTCTACTGACCCTGGGCCCTCGGGCAGTGCCCGAGTTTTCAAATGGTCAGTCCGCCCCTGTGGGGAAGAGGCTCTTGTCCCCATCAACATGGGGACAAGGTGCTTTGGGAGGTGCCCCAAAGCACCGCCCCAAGTTGAGGGCAAGCGGTTCAAGAGGGGGTGATTTCTTCCCTCCCCGTTTCCTGACTTGCTGGGCTGCATGCTCAAATACGGGGCTGGTATGGATTTTGGGGGGACCCCCACACCATTCAGTGTGATAATAGGCTCATGACATGTAAGGGAAAAAAAAACATGCTTCCAATCGTGTAATAAAAGCCAAAACTTTTATTCCATATAAAATGAGGCTCACCAGACAAATTCTTGAAACTTAGTGTAGCACCCTCCTAAGAAAGCTAGGGGGAGCTAGAGTTGAATTTTTAGTTAGAAGAGTTGGGTAGCAGTAGGTAGTAATAGTTAGTGGGGTCAAAATGTGGTCAGGGCTGAGAGGCTCTACAGACCAGCTCTTTAGAACCTCCTTCTGATCTAGAGATTTGGAGGAGTTGCTAGAGCTCAGGGGGCGGAGGTAAGGAGTGGCTGGTCTGCACTCTCAAGGATCCTGGCCAATCTCCAACAGGAGGCTTGGCATGGGGCCAGGATAGTCCTTAAGAGTGCCCGAGGCTGGTCAACTGGAGAGGAAGTGTTCAAGTGGAAGATGGACTGTGCAGGAGTGTGGAGCCTAGAAGGGGGTCCAAGAGAGGGGCCTACCTACGGGCTGTGGAGCTGGAAGGGAGGAAAACTGATCAGTCCCCAGAGTGAGGACCACCTTTGCAGCAGGGAAGGAGCAGTATAGAGAAAGGCCTGGTAGCCCCACCAACCCACCAGCTCATAGACTGAGGACTGAGGGAGTTGACCCACACTCCCTGTGCTGTGATTGTGGGGGTCTGCAGGGGGGGGGTGACCTATCAGAATCTGGAAGCCCCCCTTCATTCTTGTTTTTTTTTTTTGTTTTTACTTTAACCACTTCCCATCTGGCCATTGTATATAAACGGCCAAACGGTGGCACTGCAGGGTCGGGTGGATGTTTATAAACGGCCTCCCCGCACCCTGCTTGTGCGCGCTCCCTGGGAGTGCGCAGCACTGCGATACGGTGCCTGCTGTGTCCTCCGGACACAGTGGAACACCAATCGTCAGACGGTACCTCTGTGCAAGGTCCCGATTATGTGATCACTGATTGGCCAATCAGTGATCACATGCACAGTAGTAAGCAAGATGTCACTTCTGACATCATTGCTTACTACGTGTGAAATCTGTGAATGAGCACAGAGATCACATGGTACAGGGCTATTCACAACAGCCTTGTACCATGTGACCAGCTGTGACCAATCACAGCTCTCGCAGTATTTCTCAATGGCTGCAGGAATGGAGAATCCTTTAAGGATGTAAAAGCAATCAGTATAAAAAAAAAAAAAAAAAAAATCTTCACCCCCCACAAGCAGTACAGTGTCACCATGGTGACACTGTACTGCTAGGGTGACACTGTGTAAAAAAAAAAAAAAAAAAAATATTAATAATATAAAAAAAAAATAATTTTTTTTTAAAAAATTAAAATTTTGGTTATAAACTAATTTGGGTTTATTTTTTTTTTTACTAAAAATATAACAGGATAAATTTTGGCCAAGATTTAAAATGAAATATTATTTATTTGCAAAATTTTATAAGAAAAAAACACTTTTTTTCAAATTTAAAAATAAAGCTTTATCTGTCTCAAAAAAATGCTAAAAAATTCATCTGGGTACAGTGTTGCATGACTGCGCAATTGTCATTCAAAGTGTGATAGCGCTGAAAGCTGAAAATTGGCCTGGACTGGAAGGGGGTGAAAGCATCCGAACTGGAAGGGGGTGAAAGTGTCCAATCCCCTCCCAATCATGTGATTCAGGTGTTCCAATCTCCTCCATAACATATGATTCAGGTGTTCCAATCTCCTCCATAACATATGATTCAGGTGTTCCAATCCCTTCCATATCATGTGATTCAGGTGTTCCAATCCCCTCCATATCATGTGATTCAGGTGTTCTAATCACCTCCATATCATGTGATTCAGGTGTTCCAATCCCCTCCATAACATATGATTCAGGTGTTCCAATCCCCTCCATATCATGTGATTCAGTTGCTCCAATCACCTCCATATCACGTGATTCAGGTGTTCCAATCCCCTCCCAATCATGTGATTCAGGTGTTCCAATCCCCTCCCAATCATGTGATCCAGGTGTTCCAATCCCCTCCATGGACACAGGTGTATACAATCCATCCCCTAGGCATGCAGACGGCTTCTACAAACATTGGTGAAAGAATGGGTCGCTCTCAGGAGCTCAGTGACTCCAAGCGTGGTCCCGTGATAGGTGGCCACCTGGGCAATAAGTCCATCCGTGACATTTCCTGGCTACTAAATATTCCACGCTCAACTGTTAGTGGGATTATAACAAAGTGGAAGCAACTGGGAACAACAGCCACTCAGCCACCAAGTGGTAGGCCACGTCACATGACAGGGCGGGGGTCAGCGCATGCTGAAGCGCACAGTGCGCAGAAGTCACCAACTGTCTGCAGAGTCCATAGCTAAAGACCTCCAAACTTGGTGTGGCCCTCAGATGAGCCCAACAACAGTGCGTAGAGAGCTTCATGGAATGGGTTTCCATGGCCAAGCAGCTGCATCCAAGCCTTCCATCACCAAGTGCAATGCAAAGCGTCGGATGCCGTGGTGTAAAGCACGCCGCCACTGGACTCTAGAGCAGGGGAGATGTGTTCTCTGGAGTGACCAATCACGCTTCTCTGTCTGGTAATCCGATGGACGTGTCTGGGTTTGGCGGTGGCCAGGAGAACGGTACTTGCCTGACTGCATTGTGCCAAGTGTAAAGTTTGGTGGCGGGGGGGGGTTATGGTGTGGGGGTGTTCCTCAGGGGTTGGACTTGGCCCCCTAGTTCCAGTGAAGGGAACTCTTAAGGCGACATTTTGGACAATTTCATGCTCCCAACTTTGTGGGAAGAGTTTGGGGAAAGTGTCCGGACTAGAAGGGGGTGAAAGTGTCCGGACTGGAAGGGGGTGAAAGTGTCCAGACTGGAAGGGGGTGAAAAGTGTCCGGACTGGAAGGGGGGGAAAGTGTCCGGACTGGAAGGGGGGAAAGTGTCCAGACTGGAAGGGGGGGGAAAGTGTCCGGACTGGAAGGGGGTGAAAGTGTCCAGACTGGAAGGGGGGGAAAGTGTCCGGACTGGAAGGGGGGGAAAGTGTCCGGACTGGAAGGGGGGGGAAAGTGTCCGGACTGGAAGGGGGGGAAAGTGTCCGGACTGGAAGGGGGGGAAAGTGTCCAGACTGGAAGGGGGGAAAGTGTCCGGACTGGAAGGGGGTGAAAGTGTCGGGACTAGAAGGGGGGGAAAGTGTCCGGACAGGAAGGGGGGAAAGTGTCTGGACTGGAAGGGGTGTGAAAGTGTCGGGACTGGAAGGGGGTGAAAGTGTCCGGACTGGAAGGGGGGAAAGTGTCCGGACTGGAAGGGGGGGAAAGTGTCCAGACTGGAAGGGGGGGAAAGTGTCCGGACTGGAAGGGGGGGAAAGTGTCCAGACTGGAAGGGGGGGAAAGTGTCCGGACTGGAAGGGGGGGAAAGTGTCCAGACTGGAAGGGGGGGAAAGTGTCCGGACTGGAAGGGGGTGAAAGTGTCGGGACTAGAAGGGGGGGAAAGTGTCCGGACAGGAAGGGGGGAAAGTGTCTGGACTGGAAGGGGGGGAAAGTGTCCGGACTGGAAGGGGGGGAAAGTGTCCGGACTGGAAGGGGGGGAAAGTGTCCGGACTGGAAGGGGGGGAAAGTGTCCAGACTGGAAGGGGGGGAAAGTGTCCAGACTGGAAGGGGGGGAAAGTGTCCAGACTGGAAGGGGGGGAAAGTGTCCGGACTGGAAGGGGGGGAAAGTGTCCAGACTGGAAGGGGGGGGAAAGTGTCCGGACTGGAAGGGGGGGAAAGTGTCCGGACTGGAAGGGGGGGAAAGTGTCCGGACTGGAAGGGGGGGAAAGTGTCCGGACTGGAAGGGGGTGAAAGTGTCGGGACTAGAAGGGGGGGAAAGTGTCCGGACAGGAAGGGGGGGAAAGTGTCCGGACTGGAAGGGGGGGAAAGTGTCCGGACTGGAAGGGGGGGAAAGTGTCCGGACTGGAAGGGGGGGAAAGTGTCTGGACTGGAAGGGGGTGAAAGTGTCGGGACTGGAAGGGGGTGAAAGTGTCCGGACTGGAAGGGGGTGAAAGTGTCGGGACTGGAAGGGGGTGAAAGTGTCCGGACTGGAAGGGGGGGAAAGTGTCCGGACTGGAAGGGGGGGAAAGTGTCCAGACTGGAAGGGGGGGAAAGTGTCCGGACTGGAAGGGGGGGAAAGTGTCCGGACTGGAAGGGGGGGAAAGTGTCCAGACTGGAAGGGGGGGAAAGTGTCCGGACTGGAAGGGGGGGAAAGTGTCCAGACTGGAAGGGGGGGAAAGTGTCCGGACTGGAAGGGGGTGAAAGTGTCGGGACTAGAAGGGGGGGAAAGTGTCCGGACAGGAAGGGGGGGAAAGTGTCCGGACTGGAAGGGGGGGAAAGTGTCCGGACTGGAAGGGGGGGAAAGTGTCCGGACTGGAAGGGGGGGAAAGTGTCTGGACTGGAAGGGGGTGAAAGTGTCGGGACTGGAAGGGGGTGAAAGTGTCCGGACTGGAAGGGGGTGAAAGTGTCCGGACTGGAAGGGGGTGAAAGTGTCCGGACTGGAAGGGGGGGAAAGTGTCCGGACTGGAAGGGGGGGAAAGTGTCCGGACTGGAAGGGGGGGAAAGTGTCCAGACTGGAAGGGGGGGAAAGTGTCCGGACTGGAAGGGGGGGAAAGTGTCCGGACTGGAAGGGGGGGAAAGTGTCCAGACTGGAAGGGGGGGAAAGTGTCCGGACTGGAAGGGGGGGAAAGTGTCCAGACTGGAAGGGGGGGGGGGAAAGTGTCCGGACTGGAAGGGGGTGAAAGTGTCGGGACTAGAAGGGGGGGAAAGTGTCCGGACAGGAAGGGGGGAAAGTCTCTGGACTGGAAGGGGGGGAAAGTGTCCGGACTGGAAGGGGGGGAAAGTGTCCGGACTGGAAGGGGGGGGAAAGTGTCTGGACTGGAAGGGGGTGAAAGTGTCGGGACTGGAAGGGGGTGAAAGTGTCCGGACTGGAAGGGGATGAAAGTGTCTGGACTGGAAGGGGGTGAAAGTGTCCGGACTGGAAGGGGGGGAAAGTGTCCGGACAGGAAGGGGGGAAAGTGTCCGGACTGGAAGGGGGGGAAAGTGTCCGGACTGGAAGGGGGGGAGAAGTGTCCGGACTGGAAGGGGGAGAAAGTGTCCGGACTGGAAGGGGGTAGAAGTGTCCGGACTGGAAGGGGGTGAAATTGTTTGGACAGGAAGGGGGGGAAAGTGTCCAGACTGGAAGGGGGGGAAAGTGTCCGGACTGGAAGGGGGTGAAAGTGTCGGGACTAGAAGGGGGGGAAAGTGTCCAGACAGGAAGGGGGTAAAGTGTCTGGACTGGAAGGGGGGGAAAGTGTCCGGACTGGAAGGGGGGGAAAGTGTCCGGACTGGAAGGGGGGGAAAGTGTCTGGACTGGAAGGGGGTGAAAGTGTCGGGACTGGAAGGGGGTGAAAGTGTCCGGACTGGAAGGGGATGAAAGTGTCTGGACTGGAAGGGGGTGAAAGTGTCTGGACTGGAAGGGGGGGAAAGTGTCTGGACTGGAAGGGGGTGAAAGTGTCCGGACTGGAAGGGGGGGAAAGTGTCCGGACTGGAAGGGGGGGAAAGTGTCTGGACTGGAAGGGGGTGAAAGTGTCTGGACTGGAAGGGGGTGAAAGTGTCCGGACTGGAAGGGGGGAAAGTGTCCGGACAGGAAGGGGGGGAAAGTGTCCGGACTGGAAGGGGGAGAAAGTGTCCGGACTGGAAGGGGGTGAAAGTGTCCGGACTGGAAGGGGGTAGAAGTGTCCGGACTGGAAGGGGGGTGAAATTGTTTGGACAGGAAGGGGGTGAAAGTCTCCGGACTGGAAGGGGGTGAAAGTCTCCGGACTGGAAGGGGGTGAAATTGTTTGGACAGGAAGGGGGTGAAAGTCTCCGGACTGGAACGGGGGGAAAGTGTCCGGATTGGAAGGGGGTGAAAGTGTCCGGACTGAAACGGGGGGAAAGTGTCCGGATTGGAAGGGGGGGGAAAGTGTCCGGACTGGAAGGGGGTGAAAGTGTCGGGACTGGAAGGGGGGGAAAGTGTCCGAACTGGAAGGGGGTGAAAGTGTCCGGACTGGAAGGGGGTGAAAGTGTCGGGACTGGAAGGGGGGGAAAGTGTCCGAACTGGAAGGGGGGAAAGTGTCTGGACTGGAAGGGGATGAAAGTGTCTGGACTGGAAGGGGGTGAAAGTGTCTGGACTGGAAGGGGGTGAAAGTGTCCGGACTGGAAGGGGGTGAAAGTGTCCGAACTGGAAGGGGGGGAAAGTGTCCGGACTGGAAGGGGATGAAAGTGTCCGGACTGGAAGGGGGGGAAAGTGTCCGGACTGGAAGTGGTTAAGCAATGAAAAATGATTGCCCCTTTAGGGCGTCGGCGCCTCCCGGCCCTTTAAGAGTTTCAGAAGCCGGGAGGCGGGGCAGGGTTTAAGTCATGTGACCAGCGTGATTGGCCATCACGGTGGTCACATGATTGGAAAAGGTCCTGATTGAAAGGGGAAACCTTTTTGGGAGTCACGGACATATGTGCTGGGAGCACGCAGGGGCCGCGCTCTCAGCACATATGTAATTTCTGATTGCACGCAATCGCCAGACGCCGAGAGGTCGCATATTTGCGTGCGATTGGCATCAAGGGGTTAAAAATGGTATTTTTTTAAATGTATTTTTTCATTGATTCCTGTCCCCCGGGGCGGTCCCTGAGTCCCCATCCCCCTTTATGGCCAATAACTGGCCTATAAGCCTTCAAAATGGGCATTTTTGAATTTACAAGGTTGAGTCCCATTAAGTTCGACGTTCACGGTCGAACTTTCGTTCAAATGTTCTACCGCAAACTGAACACGGGGGGGGGGGGGGATGTGTCTGGGGTGTTCCGGCCCATTACTAGTATGAATAAATAAATATATAAAAATGGAGAAAGACTGATCTACGTTCCATTTCGGGTTGGCAGAGGTTCAACAACGTTCTCCATCCATGATGGGTCTCGGCGGGTCTTACGCGATGACGTTATCTTTGGATGTTGGCAGTAATGGCGGCTGCACTGTTATCTATGACCTATCGGTGGAGACATCAGTTCTGCAGGATGTGAATGGGTCGCGTCATTCGATTCCCCGGTAAAAACGTTCTCCATCCATGATGGGTCTCGGCGGGTCTTACGCGATGACGTCATCTTTGGACATTGGCGGTAATGGCGGCGGCGCTGGAATCTATGACCTATCGGTGGAGACATCAGTTTTGCGGGATATATGAATGGGTCGCGTCATTCGATTCCCTTCTAAAAACATTCTCCATCCATGATTGGTCTCGGCAGGTCTTACACGATGATGTCATCTTTGGATGTTGGCGGTGATGGCGGCTGCACTATTATCTATGACCTATGGGTGGAGACATCAGTTCTGCGGGATGTGAATGGGTCGCGTCATTTGATTCGCCGCTAAAAACGTTCTCCATCCATGATGGGTCTCGGCGGGTCTTACGCGATGACGTCATCTTTGGATGTTGGCGGTAATGGCAGCGGCGCTTTCATCTCACATCTATGACCTATGGGTGGAGACATCAGTTCTGCGGGATGTGAATGGGTCGCGTCATTCGATTCTCTGCTTAAAACGTTCCCCATCCATGATAAGTCTCGGCGGGTCTTACGCGATGACGTCATCTTTGGATGTTGGCGGTAATGGCAGCGGCGCTGTTATTTCACATCCATGACCTATGGGTGGAGACATCAGTTCTGCGGGATGTGAATGGGTCGCGTCATTCGATTCCCCGCTAAAAACGTTCTCCATCCGTGATGGGTCTCGGCGGGGGTCTTACGCGATGACGTCATCTTTGGATGTTGGCGGTAATGGCAGCGGCGCTTTCATCTCACATCTATGACCTATGGGTGGAGACATCAGTTCTGCGGGATGTGAATGGGTCGCGTCATTCGATTCCCCGCTAAAAACGTTCTCCATCCATGATAAGTCTCGGCGGGTCTTACGCGATGACGTCATCTTTGGATGTTGGCGGTAATGGCAGCGGCGCTGTTATCTCACATCTATGACCTAAGGGTGGAGACATCAGTTCTGCGGGATGTGAATGGGTCGCGTCATTCGATTCCCCGCTGATTACAGCTTGTTCCCGTTTGATTGTTCCTTCCGGGAACGACTTGTAATGTTATCCCTCGGCACGATCGCTCTAATTGCAGGTTTGTACGGGAGGGATGATTGGACATTGTTTACTGACAGATATCATCGGCGGGAATGACAATACGGAATGGTGTGATGGAGCAATACTGGGTGTGATTTCCTCAACATGCCGACCGCAGGTCACATTCTACATAATATAGAATACAAATTCACCAACCGTGGTGGGAACCCCTCATAATGGGCACAGCGGGTGTACAGACCCGGGAACTCGGCACAGGGATGGTGGGAACCCCTCATAATGGGCACAGCGGGTGTACAGACCCGGAAACTCAGCACAGGGACGGTGGGAACCCCTCATGATGGTCACAGCGGGGGTACAGACCTGGGAACTCAGCACAGGGATGGTGGGAACCCCTCATGATGGTCACAGCGGGGGTACAGACCTGGGAACTCAGCACAGGGACGGTGGGAACCCCTCATTATGGGCACAGCAGGTACTCAGATCCGGGAACTCAGCACAGGGATGGTGGGAACCCCTCATAATGGGCACAGTGGGTGTACAGACCCGGGAACTCGGCACAGGGACGGTGGGAACCCCTCATAATGGGCACAGCGGGTGTACAGACCCGGGAACTCAGCACAGGGATGGTGGTGATGTCAGTTTCAGATACTCAGTTAGTGTACCTCCCAGCAGGTGGAATGACCGCGCAATTGCCAGTCAGCACTCTAGTGGACACATAAATATATACACTATATTGCCAAAAGTATTGGCCCCGCCCTCCCAATCATGTGATTCAGGTGTTCCAATCCCCTCCCAATCATGTGATTCAGGTGTTCCAATCCCCTCCAAATCATGTGATTCAGGTGTTCCAATCCCCTCCAAATCATGTGATTCAGGTGTTCCAATCACCTCCATATGTGATTCAGGTGTTCCAATCCCCTCCAAATCATGTGATTCAGATGTTCCAATCCCCTCCAAATCATGTGATTCAGGTGTTCCAATCCCCTCCAAATCATGTGATTCAGGTGTTCCAATCCCCTCCAAATCATGTGATTCAGGTGTTCCAATCACCTCCATATGTGATTCAGGTGTTTCAATCACCTCCATATCATGTGATTCAGATGTTCCAATCCCCTCCAAATCATGTGATTCAGGTGCTCCAATCCCCTCCATATCATGTGATTCAGGTGCTCCAATCCCCTCCAAATCATGTGATTCAGGTGCTCCAATCCCCTCCATATCATGTGATTCAGGTGCTCCAATCCCCTCCCAATCATGTGATTCAGGTGTTCCAATCCCCTCCATATCATGTGATTCAGGTGTTCCAATCTCCTCCATAACATATGATTCAGGTGTTCCAATCTCCTCCATAACATATGATTCAGGTGTTCTAATCCCTTCCATATCATGTGATTCAGGTGTTCCAATCCCCTCCATATCATGTGATTCAGGTGTTCCAATCTCCTCCATAACATATGATTCAGGTGTTCCAATCCCCTCCATATCATGTGATTCAGGTGTTCCAATCCCCTCCATATCATGTGATTCAGGTGTTCTAATCACCTCCATATCATGTGATTCAGGTGTTCCAATCCCCTCCATAACATATGATTCAGGTGTTCCAATCCCCTCCATATCATGTGATTCAGTTGCTCCAATCACCTCCATATCACGTGATTCAGGTGTTCCAATCCCCTCCCAATCATGTGATTCAGGTGTTCCAATCCCCTCCCAATCATGTGATTCCTGTGTTCCAATCCCCTCCATATCATGTGATTCAGGTGTTCCAATCCCCTCCATATCATGTGATTCAGGTGTTCCAATCCCCTCCATGGACACAGGTGTATACAATCAAGCCCCTAGGCATGCAGACGGCTTCTACAAACATTGGTGAAAGAATGGGTCGCTCTCAGGAGCTCAGTGACTCCAAGCGTGGTCCCGTGATAGGTGGCCACCTGGGCAATAAGTCCATCTGTGACATTTCCTGGCTACTAAATATTCCACGCTCAACTGTTAGTGGGATTATAACAAAGTGGAAGCAACTGGGAACAACAGCCACTCAGCCACCAAGTGGTAGGCCACGTCACATGACAGGGCGGGGTCAGCGCATGCTGAAGCGCACAGTGCGCAGAAGTCACCAACTGTCTGCAGAGTCAATAGCTAAAGACCTCCAAACTTGGTGTGGCCTTCAGATGAGCCCAACAACAGTGCGTAGAGAGCTTCATGGAATGGGTTTCCATGGCCGAGCAGCTGCATCCAAGCCTTCTATCACCAAGTGCAATGCAAAGCGTCGGATGCCGTGGTGTAAAGCACGCCGCCACTGGACTCTAGAGCAGAGGAGATGTGTTCTCTGGAGTGACCAATCACGCTTCTCTGTCTGGCAATCCGATGGACGTGTCTGGGTTTGGCGGTGGCCAGGAGAACGGTACTTGCCTGACTGCATTGTGCCAAGTGTAAAGTTTGGTGGAGGGGGGATTATGGTGTGGGGTTGTATTTCAGGGGTTGGGCTTGGCCCCCTAGTTCCAGTGAAGGGAACTCTTAAGGCAACATTTTGGACAATTTCATGCTCCCAACTTTGTGGGAGGAGTTTGGGGATGGCCCCTTCCTGTTCCAACATGACTGCCCCCCAGTGCACAAAGCAAGGTCCATAAAGACATGGAGGAGCCGGTTTGGGGTGGAGGAACTTGACTGTCCTGCACAGAGTCCTGACCTCAACCCCATAGAACACCTTTGGGATGAATTAGAGCGGAGACTGCGAGCCAGGCCCCCTCCCCCGACATCAGTGCCTGACCTGACAAATGTGCTTCTGGAAGAATGGTCCAACCTTCCCATAGACACCCTCCTAAACCTTGTGGGGGGCCTTCCCAGAAGAGGTGAAGCTGTTATAGCTGCAAAGGGCGGGGCCAACTCAGTATTGAACCCTACGGACTAAGACTGGGGGGCCATTAAAGGTCATGTGTGTGGAAAGGGCGGGGCCAACTCAATATTGAACCCTACGGACTAAGACTGGGGGGCCATTAAAGGTCATGTGTGTGGAAAGGGCGGGGCCAACTCAATATTGAACCCTACAGACTAAGACTGGGGGGCCATTAAAGGTCATGTGTGTGGAAAGGATGGGGGCCCAATACTGGGGGCAATATCGTGTATATTGGTTGTCCTAGCAGGCAGCTTTTCTTGTTTTGCAGCACAGAGTACCTGCAGTGTAATATTTACAGATTCCACTAGGTGTCAGCAGAGGAATATCTAAACCCCTGATGTCATTCCTGTGGCCCTTCCACATTTGCTATGGGGCCCTGCAGATAGCAGGCTGGGTTTTGGACATTAGCCTTCCCAGTCAATGAGAATATTATTTATACTGACTTCTAGTAGGTACATTGCTGGGTTTATTTATTTTACATTTCTTGTTTACTTTTTTCCTGTTTTGTCTATCCATTTTTCTTTTTCTGTACTATGTCCGCAGTCTCTGGTCATCTCCTGTACTGTGTCCGCAGTCTCTGGTCATCTCCTGTACTGTGTCCGCAGTCTCTGGTCATCTCCTGTACTGTGTCCGCAGTCTCTGGTCATCCCTGTACTGTGTCCGCAGTCTCTGGTCATCTCCTGTACTGTGTCCGCAGTCTCTGGTCATCTCCTGTACTGTGTCTGCAGTCTCTGGTCATCTCCTGTACTGTGTCCGCAGTCTCTGGTCATCCCCTGTACTGTGTCCGCAGTCTCTGGTCATCTCCTGTACTGTGTCCGCAGTCTCTGGTCATCTCTCCTGTACTGTGTCTGCAGTCTCTGACCCTCTCCTGTACTGTGTCCGCAGTCTCTGGTCATCCCCTGTACTGTGTCTGCAGTCTCTGACCCTCTCCTGTACTGTGTCCGCAGTCTCTGGTCATCTCCTGTACTGTGTCCGCAGTCTCTGGTCATCCCCTGTACTGTGTCCGCAGTCTCTGGTCATCTCCTGTACTGTGTCCGCAGTCTCTGGTCATCCCCTGTACTGTGTCCGCAGTCTCTGGTCATCCCCTGTACTGTGTCCGCAGTCTCTGGTCATCTCCTGTACTGTGTCTGCAGTCTCTGGTCATCTCCTGTACTATGTCCGCAGTCTCTGGTCATCTCCTGTACTATGTCCGCAGTCTCTGGTCATCCCCTGTACTGTGTCCGCAGTCTCTGGTCATCCCCTGTACTGTGTCCGCAGTCTCTGGTCATCTCCTGTACTGTGTCCGCAGTCTCTGGTCATCTCCTGTACTGTGTCCGCAGTCTCTGGTCATCTCCTGTACTATGTCTGCAGTCTCTGGTCATCCCCTGTACTGTGTCTGCAGTCTCTGGTCATCTCCTGTACTGTGTCCGCAGTCTCTGGTCATCCCCTGCACTGTGTCCGCAGTCTCTGACCATCTCCTGTACCGTGTCTGCAGTCTCTGGTCATCTCCTGTACTGTGTCCGCAGTCTCTGGTCATCCCCTGTACCGTGTCTGCAGTCTCTGGTCATCTCCTGTACTGTGTCCGCAGTCTCTGGTCATCCCCTGTACTGTGTCCGCAGTTCTCTGACCGTCTCCTGTACTATGTCCGCAGTCTCTGGTCATCTCCTGTACTATGTCCGCAGTCTCTGACCATCTCCTGTACTGTGTCCGCAGTCTCTGACAGTCTCCTGTACTATGTCTGCAGTCTCTGGTCATCCCCTGTACTGTGTCTGCAGTCTCTGGTCATCTCCTGTACTGTGTCCGCAGTCTCTGGTCATCCCCTGCACTGTGTCCGCAGTCTCTGACCATCTCCTGTACCGTGTCTGCAGTCTCTGGTCATCTCCTGTACTGTGTCCGCAGTCTCTGGTCATCCCCTGTACCGTGTCTGCAGTCTCTGGTCATCTCCTGTACTGTGTCCGCAGTCTCTGGTCATCTCCTGTACTGTGTCCGCAGTTCTCTGACCGTCTCCTGTACTATGTCCGCAGTCTCTGGTCATCTCCTGTACTATGTCCGCAGTCTCTGACCATCTCCTGTACTGTGTCCGCAGTCTCTGACAGTCTCCTGTACTGTGTCCGCAGTCTCTGGTCATCCCCTGTACTATGTCCGCAGTCTCTGGTCATCTCCTGTACTATGTCCGCAGTTCTCTGACCGTCTCCTGTACTGTGTCCGCAGTCTCTGGTCATCCCCTGTACTATGTCCGCAGTCTCTGGTCATCTCCTGTACTATGTCCGCAGTTCTCTGACCGTCTCCTGTACTGTGTCCGCAGTCTCTGGTCATCCCCTGTACTATGTCCGCAGTCTCTGGTCATCCCCTGTACTGTGTCTGCAGTCTCTGGTCATCCCCTGTACTGTGTCCGCAGTCTCTGATCATCTCCTGTACTGTGTCCGCAGTCTCTGACCATCTCCTGTACTGTGTCCGCAGTCTCTGACCATCTCCTGTACTGTGTCCGCAGTCTCTGGTCATCTCCTGTACTGTGTCTGCAGTTCTCTGACCATCTCCTGCACTATGTCCGCAGTTCTCTGACCGTCTCCTGTACTGTGTCTGCTGTCTTAGAACAAGACGGTGAAATGATTTAATCTCAGATCTCTGAATCATGTGACTCTTTGTGTATATAGATGATTCTGAGCCGCAAGGAATCTCACCAATCAGGAATGACGGGCGATGACAGACTGACACATCCACACACAGAGAGGTGAATCAACGACTTTGCCTCGTCCTCCTTTGTGTGCCGCGTGGAGCAATTTTTCTATTTATAAAAAGAACAATCCGGAAGAAAAGCTGTCACCTCTTATCCGGCATCAAATCTCTTCTTTAACCACTTGAGCTCCGGAAAGAATTTTCGCCATTCAGCACTGTGCTACATTAACTGGTAATTGCTCGGTCATGCGACACCGTACTTGAGTACACATTGGAGTATACATTTTTTTTGGATTTTTTTTTCTTTTTTTTTCTGTTAACCCCAAGCTTTGTATTTAGGAAGAAATTTGATTTTACTGGATATGTTTTATAGCAGAAAAAAGAAAATCGTTTTTTTTTTTTTTAATTTTCTGCCTTTTTTGTCTATACAATAATAAACACCCCCCCCCCCACCCCCCAGTGGTGATCAAATACCACCTAAAGAAAGCCTTATTTGTGCAAAAAAAAAAAAAAGATATACATTTCATTCAAATTTCATTTTTTGCATAGATAGATAGGTAATGCCTACATGTGATGTTGAGCCTCCGTGATTAAAAGAAGAGGAGTCCAATGACAGGGGCGGGGCCAAGGACAGTCAGACTTGGCAGGAAAGAGCTAGATGATGTTGGACGTCCTCCAGCCAGGAAATGGGGCGGAGTTCTGTCTGACTTGCTGCAGCTTCTAATGCACATTGTGAGAAGCTCCCAGTGTGCGGTGATATCAGAGGAAGCCATTCCAGTCCAGGGGAGTAATCAGTACAATGGTGGAAGACTGGAAGACTGGAGGGGAGGAGTTGGTACACCTGTGCAATACTGGAGGGGAGGAGCCGGAACACCTGTGCAAGACTAGAGGGGAGAAGCCAGTACACCTGTGCAAGACTGGAGGGGAGGAGCCGGAACACCTGTGCAAGACTGAAGGGGAGGAGCCAGTACACCTGTGCAAGACTGAAGGGGAGGAGCCAGTACACCTGTGCAAGATGGAAGGGGAGGAGCCAGTACACCTGTGCAAGACTGAAGGGGAGGAGCCGGTACACCTCTGCAAGACTGAAGGGGAGGAACCGGTACACCTGTGCAAGACTGAAGGGGAGGAGCCGGTACACCTGTGCAAGACTGAAGGGGAGGAGCCAATACACCTGTGCAAGACTGAAGGGGAGGAACCGGTACACCTGTGCAAGACTGAAGGGGAGGAGCTGATACACATGTGCAAGAAGGAAAGGGAGGAGCCGGTACACCTGTGCAAGACTAAAGGGGAGGAGCCAATACACCTGTGCAAGACTGAAGGGGAGGAACCGGTACACCTGTGCAAGACTGAAGGGGAGGAGCCGGTACACCTGTGCAAGACTGAAGGGGAGGAGCAGGTACACATGTGCAAAACTGAAGGGGAGGAGCTGGTACACCTGTGCAAGACTGAAGGGGAGGAACCGGTACACCTTTGCAAGACTGAAGGGGAGGAACCGGTACACCTCTGCAAGACTGAAGGAGGGGAGGAGCCGGTACACCTCTGCAAGACTGAAGGGGAGGAGCCGGTACAACCTGTGCAAGACTGAAGGGGAGGAACCGGTACACCTGTGCAAGACTGAAGGGGAGGAACCGGTACACCTGTGCAAGACTGAAGGGGAGGAGCCGGTACACCTGTGCAAGACTGAAGGGGAGGAGCCAATACACCTCTGCAAGACTGAAGGGGAGGAACCGGTACACCTGTGCAAGACTGAAGGAGGGGAGGAGCCGGTACACCTCTGCAAGACTGAAGGGGAGGAGCTGATACACATGTGCAAGAAGGAAAGGGAGGAGCCGGTACACCTGTGCAAGACTGAAGGGGAGGAGCCAATACACCTGTGCAAGACTGAAGGGGAGGAACCGGTACACCTGTGCAAGACTGAAGGGGAGGAGCCGGTACACCTGCGCAAGACTGAAGGGGAGGAGCAGGTACACCTGTGCAAGACTGAAGGGGAGGAACCGGTACACCTGTGCAAGACTGAAGGGGAGGAACCGGTACACCTGTGCAAGACTGAAGGGGAGGAGCCGGTACACCTGTGCAAGACTGAAGGGGAGGAGCCAATACACCTCTGCAAGACTGAAGGGGAGGAACCGGTACACCTGTGCAAGACTGAAGGAGGGGAGGAGCCGGTACACCTCTGCAAGACTGAAGGGGAGGAGCTGATACACATGTGCAAGAAGGAAAGGGAGGAGCCGGTACACCTGTGCAAGACTGAAGGGGAGGAGCCAATACACCTGTGCAAGACTGAAGGGGAGGAACCGGTACACCTGTGCAAGACTGAAGGGGAGGAGCCGGTACACCTGCGCAAGACTGAAGGGGAGGAGCAGGTACACCTGTGCAAGACTGAAGGGGAGGAACCGGTACACCTTTGCAAGACTGAAGGGGAGGAACCGGTACACCTGTGCAAGACTGAAGGGGAGGAGCCGGTACACCTGTGCAGGACTGGAGGGGGGAGGGCCTGAGGGGAGGATTTGATGAAGCTTGATGACACTCAGCATTATAGGACCACAGACAGGACAATATGGGACATGTTTCTTTTAATTGTATCTTTTAATTACTGACCCAATCCCCCCCCCCCCTTCCAGTCCCATGCTGCCGGCTTCAGCCAATGAACATAAATCAATCAACTTTGTAAAACATTTTATTTATTTTAAATTTATTAAACTCCCCTCCCCCCTCCAAAAAAAATGCATTTTAGAATCGGGAAATTTGATCAACTTTTATTTTACATCCCAGCAGTGCTTTTTTTTTATATCAAGTACAGATTATTCATTTATATGAGAACTACAATCCAAACACAAACGTCACAAATAAATACATGTCGCGGTCAGCTACCCGTCTCCGATATTTGGTTTCCGATACATTGTTTCCATATAATAAGAATTTCCACCAGAAACAAATGCAAAGGAGTTTATTTATTAATTAAAAAAAAAAAAGAAAAGCATATCCCTTCGTTCATCGAACTTGCATGTAAATGAATTCTTTGTGAATGTCAGAATCAAATGTTCTCGAGTCGTATTCTCTGCGCGTCGAATGTCATTCATTCAAAAAAAAAAAAAAACAAAATACTGTATGATGAAATACCACATTATGGCCCCTAGATGGTGCTGAGGATCATAAGAAAAAAATATGCTCCTCAGCTTCCTAATGTGGCATTTCCAATGTTCAGCGAATAACTTGATCTATAAAGATTATTTATTTCAGGTACTTCTGTAGCGCCAGCAATTTACATATATATTGTACATTCACATCAGTCCCCGCCCCTGAGGAGCGTACAATCTAAAGTCTAACTTACATTTATACATACACATACTAGGGCCAATTCAGACAGGATTCTATTACCCTACCAGCATGTCTTTGGAGTGTGGGAGGAAACTGGAGTACCCAGAGGAAACCCACACAGGCACAGGGAGAACATGCAAACTCCAGGCAGGTGGTGCTGTGGTTGGGATTCAAACCAATGACCCTAGTACTGCCAGGTGGAAGTGCTAACCATTTAGCCACTGTGCTGCCCATAATAAACCACTGCGCCTACCAGCATGTCTTTGGGAGTGTGGGAGGAAACCCATGCAGGTACAGGGAGAACATGGAAACTCCAGGCAGGTGGTGCCTTGGTTGGGATTCAAACCAACAACCCTAGTACTGCCAAGTAGATGTGCTAACCATTTAGCCACTGTGCTGCCCACAATAAACCATTGTGTCTACCAGCATGTCTTTGGAGTTTGGGAGGAAACTGGAGTACCCAGAGGAAACCCACACAGGCACAGGGAGAACATGCAAACTCCAGGCAGGTGGTGCCGTGGGATTCAAACCAACGACCTTAGTACTGCCAGGTGGAAATGCTAACCATTTAGCCACTTTGCTGTCCACAATAAACCATTGTGTCTACCAGCATGTCTTTGGGAGTGTGGGAGGAAACCCACACAGGCACAGAGAGAACATAAAAACTCCAGGCAGGTGGTGCCATGGTTGGGATTCAAACCAACGACCTTAGTACTGCCAGGTGGAAATGCTAACCATTTAGCCACTGTGCAGGGGTGGACTAACCATTTAGCCACGAGGGCCTGGGGTCAGTAGAGGGCCCCAAGAGATGCCCCTGGTACCTTTCATTGGCTTTTTTGGGTGTGGGTGAGGACACTGGGCCCCTCGATTTCCTATTGCCCGGGGGCCCCTGCCACTGTGCTGCCCTGAGAATGTCAGATTTTGCCACGTTCACACAATCTACAAACTGTGAATTTTTTATGAACGCAACCCATGAAGTCTGTTGGTTGAGGGCGGCTTGACTGACTTGTAGGACCTGTTAGGTGGACTCGGGAGGATGGCACTGCCCAGTTTCTGGAGGGCATACCAGTTCTTAGGTCAAACAATGACTTCCGGTCCTGGTGTCAGGCAATGGTGGAAGTGAAGTCTCCAATGCGCCTGGAAAGAGTCCTTCTAACATGATCCCTTGAGCTTTCTAAGCTGTGTATTTGCACCCCAAAGCTGACGATCTACATCCTGATCTGCTCCAGCACACACGGTTGGCACGGTTGACTTTGTCCACCAATTAAGTCATTTCTGGAGATATTAATAAAAATAATTAAAAAAAAAATTGGTTATTGTAATTTGTATATCCTGAGTAGAGTATGTCACATGACTGTGTTCATTCCATACCGGCGGCAAGTGTCCGTCCCGTCTTTTGACCGTCGTCGGTCTACATGTTGGTCACATGGATTGGCTCGAGTCCTGGTTGACTTTACCGTGAAGGACCTGAATTTTTTTGAAGTTTCTTCTAATTGGGGGAAGACTTTTTTTTGGGGTCTTCCAGCTTAGCTCCATCCTACAGGGCAGATAAATGGTACGTTCCAGACTACCGCGACGGACTGGAGGAGAATCATATTTTGGTCAGTGGCTCCAGCAGGTACATGGTTGGGTTGTATGATCCACCAGTCATCTCATGCTTGCCGATTGTAGTAGAAGATTGGGTAGACCAGATTTAGTTTTTTCTTGACCCTTATCCAGTTTCGTGTCCCACAGTTCGTGTGTCCCATAATCCTAATGTTCTTACTGCACGTAAGACCGGAAGTTGCGGTATTTGGCGGTTCTGGGCATGTCTTTATCAATCACAACCAGTTTGTGAAGAACTTCTCTGATGTCTTCTTCTGCGGGATTCTCTGTGTCGTTTTCGGTTATTATCTTAAAGTAGACGTAGTATGGCGAGGTCTCTATGATGGCCTTGCAGGGGTCAAATGGGGGCATGTTGGGTTTGTTCTGCGCCGGTGGTGCTGCCGGTAGAACTTGGTGATCCTTAGGTTTGGGAGGCACAGGGGGGGGAGGTGGCCGTTTTTCTTCACGTGGCTGTTCGTTGGCTGGTGCCGAGTCTTGCTGTAAAGGCAGAAACACGAGAAATGTTAAATATGCTTCAAATGTTCACCATTTTGGCCAAAACGTTTATAGACACCTGACCATCACACCTATGTGAGCTTGTAGGACATCCCATACCCAAACCAGGGCCAGTCAGATGGAGGTGTCCCCCTTTGAGGGTATAACGTCCTCCACTCTTCTTGGAAGGTTCTTCTCAAGATTGTGGAGGGAATTTATGATGGGACTGGCTCAGGGTTCTCTGTACAGCACTGCGGTATATGTCAGAGCTATATAAATGTGTAATAATAATAGTGTGTGACTGTGGGGGGGGGGGCATTAGAGTGTAAGCTCCTCTGTACAGAGACTGATGTGACTGTGGGGGGGGGGGGGGGGGGGCATTAGAGTGTAAGCTCCTCTGGTACAGAGACTGATGGGACTGTGGGGGGGGGGGGCATTAGAGTGTAAGCTCCTCTGGTACAGAGACTAATGGGACTGTGGGGGGGGGGGGGCATTAGAGTGTAAGCTCCTCTGGTACAGAGACTGATGGGACTGTGGGGGAGGGGACATTAGAGTGTAAGCTCCTCTGGTACAGAAACTGATGTGACTGTGGGGGAGGGGACATTAGAGTGTAAGCTCCTCAGGTACAGAGACTGTTGTGACTGTTGGGGAGGGGACATTAGAGTGTAAGCTTCTCTGGTACAGAGACTGATGGGGCTGTGGGGGAGGGGACATTAGAGTGCAGGGGCATTTGGAAACTCAGGCACTGCCCGAGGGCCCGGGTCAGTAGGGGGCCCCATGAGATGCCCCTGGTACCTTTTTCATAGGCTTTTTTGAGTTTGGCCAAGGACACAGGGGCCCCATGATCCCCTATTGCCCGGGGCCCCATGAGTTTGTCAGTCCACCCCTGTTAGAGTGTAAGCTCCTCTGGTGCAGAGACTGATGGGACTGTGGAGGAAGGGACATTAGAGTGTCAGCTCCTCTGTACAGAGACTGATGTGACTGTGGGGGAGGGGGACATTAGAGTGTAAGCTCCTCTGTACAGAGACTGATGGGACTGTGGGGGAGGGACATTAGAAGTGCAAGCTCCTCTGGTGCAGAGACTGATGGGACTGTGGGGGAGGGGACATTAGAGTGTAAGCTCCTCTGGTGCAGAGACTGATAGGACTGTGGGGGAGGGGACATTAGAGTGTCAGCTCCTCTGGTACACAGACTGATGTGACTGTGGGGGAGGGGACATTAGAGTGTCAGCTCCTCTGGTACAGAGACTGATGTGACTGTGGGGGGGAGGGGACATTAGAGCGTAAGCTCCTCTGGTACAGAGACTGATGTGACTGTGGGGGGAGGGGACATTAGAGCGTAAGCTCCTCTGGTACAGAGACTGATGTGACTGTGGGGGAGGGACATTAGAGCGTAAGCTCCTCTGGTACAGAGACTGATGTGACTGTGGGGGAGGGGACATTAGAGCATAAGCTCCTCTTGCACAGAGACTGATGTGACGGTGGGGGAGGGGAAATGAAGAGTGTAAGCTCCTCTGTACAGAGACTGAATGTGACTGTGGGGGGGGAAATTAGAGCGTAAGCTCCTCTTGCACAGAGACTGATGTGACTGTGGGGAGGGGACATTAGAGCGTAAGCTCCTCTTGCACAGAGACTGGTGTGACTGTGAGGGCGGGGAATTTTAGGAGCGTAAGCTCCTCTTGCACAGGAGACTGATGTGACTTGTGGGGGAGGGGACACATTAGAGAGTACAGCTCCCTCTTGCACAGAGACTGGTGAGTGTCGGGTTCGGTGTTTCTCTGTACTGCGCCTGGGGTATTACACCGTCAAGTGCTATCTGGCAGGTGTGTAAGATCATTTTCTTTTGAGCTTACGTGTCACTACTCCATATCGTTTCCTGCTGCATTTCTTCTGATTCCTTGGTGTCAGTCAGGGGGGGGGTCAGGGATCTCGGTGTGCACATTTATCTAACACACACAGGACAGGTTATGTAGAAGCGATCGGAGAGTTTCTCTTGACTCATCAGGACAGGTTCCACAATCCACACCCCGATTCCGGCGACTGACGAAGGTTCGCTCACACCTCCTG